CCTAATTTTTATATATTTATACATTCTAATATATATTTTATATATCAAAACTGTATTTTCTAACAATGTGTTTTATAGTGGAAGTACTAGTTTAATGTTGGTTTTGATTTTAAGTTTCTAACTTGCTGTGCTTTTTCCCGTTGAGGTGAATTGCAGTAATACGGCAAGAATCTTCCAGTTATTCTATCAGGAATTTGGTGCAGTTATGGAGATAACATTGCATGTTGTAAAGAGTTACCTTTACTCCTGCTCATCAGACTCCACCTAGAAACCAGTGAAACTGTAGTGTGTTTTCTAACTTTTGCTAGCTAAGATTGTGCTGAGCTACAGTTTTGCTTCTTGTAACGGATGTACTGGATATCTTTCTTCTGTCTATGAATGAGTCCTGCTTCCTTTGTTAATAACCCTACCAAAAAAAAAAGCGGGAGGGAGAAGTTCAGATTCTGTAACTTAGTGTGGCAACCTGGGATTGGAAACAAGCGTATGGTTTGTTGCTTAATTTCACAATGAGCATTTAAGAAACCTTGGAAAAGCTGAAGTCTGTGAGGAACAGAGCTTCTGGATGACTGGGTAAATTTAGTAAATCAGGACATTATTCCTCCTTACCTTCTTGAAACAAGTGGAGAAGGAGAGAGGCTGGGTAGAGCAGTCTGCGCTGCCTTGTGTGTCGCTTGCAGCTAAGATTGCCTCTGATGCCTGATCTGCTTAGGTCAGGCTATACCCAAGGAACATTGCTCACCAGAGCTTTTTTTAATGAGCCAGTAAGCAGAGGGATTCTATACCCAAGGAACATTGCTCACCAAAGCTTTTTTTCATGAGCCAGTAAGCAGAGGGATGGGAAGGCAGCAGTTCTGAGACTGCTCTGAGCTTTTTCAGAAGAGTGGAATGCAGTGTCAAGTGCTAAGGCTTTCTTTTGATGAATAAGGGGACTTCAAACCTGTCACTATTTCTTGGAGGATGCATGGAGACTATTCTGTCCAGAAAAGAGTTACCGTGGTCTAGTATCTTCCTATATAGGTCTTGCTTGAGACTTGCTATAAAAATGTAAGAATTTAATGACCACATATATATAGAGAGAGAGAGACAGCCTCTCAGAAGCAATTTTGTCTGTATGAATAAACCGATTCTCAACCTTTATTGGAATTATTTTTTCATTCTTTCTTTTTCTCCCACAAATGACCCAGTCAGTAAGTTAGTAGTCACGGGCTGTTCTGCCCCAAAGGCTGTTTGCACCATTAGTATGTACAGAGATTCCTAAAGAACTGATCCTGCTGTAACAGCAGTCTCTTCCTCCTGGATTTTTTTTTTCCTTGCATTGAAGACACGTTTCACTAAACTGTGATGTGGTTGGGCTCCCTAGGAAGAGCAGAGTGTTACTCTGCCTTACATTTTATGCTAATTGTTCCCAGTTTGGGATTTACTAACAGTCAATAATCTTAAATTTGTACCTCCCCTGTAGTTCTGCCATCCTTCAGTTAATTAGTCACTGGCTAAAAGTTGATCTGTGGGAAAGTTTATTGCAGTTCAGCCTCTCATGTACTTTTCTTTCCTATGCTGCAGCACAAGTGGATGTGCTGTCTGCTGCCCTCAGAGCATCCAGTTTGGATCCTCAAGAAGAGACCAACGTCTGCAAGGGAACAGACTCACAGACTGAACTAACCATCAACGACCAACAGAATTTTAAACCTATACTGGGTGATATTGTGCCTTTAATTGGGGACACTGTTGAGGTAAGAAGCATGTTTTGTACTCTTCTCCCCCCATTAAAATTTCCAGGGCTCCAGTAATAGAGCCGTATTTTGTGTTTGTGTGGTAATTGCAGCCAAATGCTTCCTACTTTTGGCTAGTGTGACACTGGGCTTTGTTGGCCGGTACTGAAGCGCTAGTTACTACAATAATGGGTTGTGTTGGGTGCCTTTGTTTTTGCCAGTTCTGTGCTTGACCATGTAAATTCTTGAAATTGTTTCCGTTAAAATGAGATTGTCACCACAGAGATTTTAAGATGTTTTAATGCAGCTGCAGTTTATTACTGTGAAATACTTTAAATACTGCCTTACTTAACACAGAGCCTTACTGATAATAAGTGAATCCCCTTCTCCAGTGCCCTCCCTCCACCCTGGAGAAAGAGGTACTTTGTTCCCTGTGCTCCCCGTTAAAGTGTTTTATATTAATTTACCAGCCTGTGTAAGAGGAACTCAGGACCTGCAGTCCAGGATGTGGTGAGAACTGCTGAAAGTGGATTCTGGCAATCAGTAACATTATAAAGTGTTTTGCACTTACTTCTTCAGCACCCACCACTGCCCCCTGCCCGGTTGAAGTCTGTGGCATTTGATACTGTTTTCTGCTCTGTACTGTGTGTTAGGCCAGACCTGCGATGTTCACTGCATATAGTGCCGCGGGCTTTGGTGGCATTTCTACAGAGCTGCATAGAAAGCAGGGTTCCAAAATATGCTGTATAAAACTACAGCAAGTGATTGGTTGAATCCTGTTGCCTAAATGGTGTTTTCAGATGAAATGTTGATAAATGTCTTCGGAAAGTCTAGGAGTTGACATCAGTCTGGTGCAGAGGTTTTCAACCTTCTTGGGTCAGAGCAGATGACATTTAATTAACATTCCACCTAAGATGTTGGACTGCTGTGTAGCCAGAAAACTTCGGGGAGTGGAACAGTGTGACATTTACTTAAATACTGCTGTTTACGCACAATCACAACTTAACACTACCAAACAGCGTGTCCCTGGTTCCTGATGTCAGGCTCGATGTATTTCTTCATCGTAGGATCTGTTGTAGTCACTACTTTCTAACGCTAACCTGTAAAATGACAGTGTCGATGTCCTTCTAATTTTTGGAGGTGATGAGGGTGATGTTTGTTCACAGGGACCTGTAGTACATTTTATCTCCAGAGAGTATGATGCTGACACTTTCTGTGTTTAAAGAACCAGTCACAGTGCTGATGTATGTTTTTGCATGTTTCAGTTTTAATCCAAAAAGGATGCTCTCAATCCGTTAGTTCCTTGCTCGTTACTGGCACTGAATCAAGTCCTCATTTTAAAAATGAAAGGATATTATAGAGGTGACCTAGAATTTGGGAATCAAGCTGTGATCTGTTGAGCAAGTGAACTGTTGCCTCTAGCAATGAAGAGAGTTCTGATTCTGACAGGTGTGTGTTTGTGGGTTTTTTGTTTGTGGTTGGGTTTGGGTATGTGTTTTTAAGCCTCAGCATAGCAAAGTGTCAATAGGGTACAGGACACTTTAGAAAAATCAAGCTACAGCATCTTATTTTTGAAAGCAGCCTTCACAGTTCTGTCACACATGACAAAGCAGAATCACACATTGCATGTCCTTTTGCAGCTGTATAGGCTCTTGAAGGAGTTAGTCGTACCCGTTAAAGAACGATTATCTGCAAATGGAAATGAATGTTGAATAAAGCAAAGAGATACAGTTGTAGGACACAGGTGAATCTTGTTTTTTGAGGATGAGGATAGCTGTTTTGTTTTTCCCCCAAGAGCCATCATTTTGATTTTCTTTAGCTTGTATGTGCACTGTAAGCTTTGATGAAGGAATGTAAGCCTCAAGAAAACCCCCAAGTCATATTGCCAGTGGATGGCTGTGGGGGTTCTCTTTTTTTTTTTTTTTTGATTGGAGGTAGAGGGAGAAGGAAGAGAAAGGAAACTGCACTAAAATCAGCCCATCCCTGTCAGGCACAAGTACCTCTCTCTAAGAGGAGGGGACTGGACCCCTGAGACTGGCTGCTTCTCTCTCTGTTTGGGCCAGCTGCCCTGTCAGGCAATGCCAGCACCACTTGTCCTGGTGCTGTGGGCTTTGTGTGCAACCCATGGCACAGAGCAGGGCTCTGTGGAGCACAACCATGGAGCTCTTGTTATGCTGCAGCTAAAGGAAACCTCACGTGAGGAAATACTTTTTCATGAGGAAACCCTTCTTCCCTGTGAGGGTGACAGAGCACGGGAGCAGGCTGCCCAGGGAGGGGGTGGAGTCTCCTTCCCTGGAGACTTTCAGAAGCCACCTGGGCTTGTTCCTGTGTGATCTACTCTGGGGGATCCTGCTCTGGCAGGGGTGTTGGACTAGATGATCTCTGGAGGTCCCTTCCAACCTCTACCACTCTGGGAATCTCTGAATTTGTAAGGCCACGACAGAGATTTTGCGTTGTGGAGGTGGTGGTTCACCGGTTTGGTATGCAAGAAGCTTGCAGGCTAAACCCTGCTGAATTCTTATGTCCTGCCTCTCTGCAATGATCAGTTCTGGGGGGTGGGTGTGTGTGTGTGTGTGTGGCATGGGAACAGCAGAGATGGAACTTCAGCTGCAGGAACTGAGATGCTGCGTTGACGTAAATACTGACTGATGCTGTGGTTCTTTTCTACTGAAGCTCTTGTTTCTGGAATGCGTGTTTGACTTTAGAAGAGGCTGGGTAAAAATGTTCCCATCTGTGACACCCTTCAGTATAGTTAGTCTTTCAACTTAGTTCAATCAATAAAGTATTATTTTTAACTTCCCCCCCTGCTTTAACATAGACTTTTAGAGCTGTGGTAGCAGAGATTGTGAGTTGGAATTTCCATTTTTCTTGTAGCAGGATGGGTGACTAGCCTCCAGTCCCATACACCTGGGCATCTCATGGAAAGCACTACGGCTACGTTTGCTGGCTGCCTCATAATTACTCCCATTTGAAAGCCAGTGACTTTCTGCCAATGCTGAAAATAATCCGTTTTTCTGGGGGAAAAATAGAAAGGCTAAAAAAGGAGTGAAGAATTGACTGGCACGCCGAAATCCTGCAGAGATGGTTTTCAGAGCCTCTGGAGTTTTTATAGTTGGAGTTGTATGCTGCTGGACACATTAAATTAGGTAGTCACTTGCGGATTTGTTCTTTCATTGGCTCTTTAATACCTTCTTACTGCTGCTTGATAAGCCTGACAGGTGATTTGGGCTGCTGTGGCAGCAATATGCAATTGCCTCACAGCTCTGCCTGTTCTTTATCACCTGTAATTATACCTCAGTGTCTAAAATTACAACCCAATGCTTAGTTGAAAGCAGATCGTGGAAGAGGAAAAAGCAACTGTCTGAAGTCAAACCAAGGCGGACAGATGGTGTCCTTGAGGCTTTTTTGAAGAAGCTTATGGTTTGCTTGAAATTTCTCATTGTCAAACTGATCTGAACAGCTGGTAGAGTAGCTTATTGTGTTGACCCTGAGAGCTCACCCTGCAGCGCCTGTGAATAGATATCTTGGCTCATATCTAGCAAAAATGCCTTTCTCCTGTTCTACCAGGCAACGGCCTGAACTACTTTCCAAATATTCATCACATACTTGTTGAAATTCACAGTTGATTATGCAAAGTCTGTTGTGTTTGGGAACTCCACTGGTACAGAATGTGACACTGCATCCCCTCAGCAGCACAGTTTATCAGGCCATATCAAACCTCTGCTGCTCAGTGGAGTTCTGAAACAGAGTCTCAGCCCTTATCTTCAAGGCCCAGATGTGTAGCCAGGATGATTGGATGATTGCGAAAAATTATTTTATTAGAACTGCTGAGAAGCATGGTGACCCATCTGCTAGGACTCTGTATTATAAGGTGCTCATCTGTAGGGAAGATTACAGAATAATCACCCCTAGGAAAGGAGCAACAGCATAAGTCTCATCCATTTCTACTCTTAAGTGTGAGAGTGCCTCTCTTTTGACCTTTTTCTACCACAAATCCAAAGCAACAAATCCAATAAAATCCACTACAGATGATTTCTCATTTCCCTTCAAGGGAGAAGCAATGTGGCCCGTATATTAGTTCCATTTTCCTTAATGCAGCCTCAAAGGTTTTCCTCTCGTATGATCTTCATTCCAGAAGGACAAAATGGAGCAGAATAAGATGAGCCTGTCTTTGAAATTTAAAGTTAAAAGCTTTATCTTACAGCCCTTTTGATTTTGAGATGTAGCAAAATTGGATTTGATATTAAAATATGCGTTCCTTTAATCTAAGAAAGACCTTAAGGTGAGGACAGCAGTTCTTGATGTTATTTGATTTGTGTTTAACCCTTGAGTGTATTTTGTGTGACTCGTTCTTTGCCTTTTTCCATAGGATATGGATTCTACACTTCACTATATTCATGATTCAGATTTGAGTACCAACAGTAGTTTCAGCCCGGAAGAAGAAAGAAAATCCAAAGTACAGGTAAATGACAGTGGCTTCTGTTTTTCCTTCATGTATCAGACAAGTGGAATTTTTTATGTATATGTGAATTTCTCTTATGTGTTTCAGTCATTTCTGATGCCATGTAGTTTCTGTAAAATATTTCAAACCTTTTAAACCAAGTAATTTAAAAATACTAGTTGTTTCCAGAGATAATGGCTTAATTCAGCAGTGGTTTCTGTTTTAATTATGTATAAGAGATTACAGTAGTGTTTGATGTGAGAACAGTTACTGTAGACTTCCAGGCTCTGTGTTCATTTGGTTTCATTTTTTATGGAAACTGTCCTGCAATGGAAGTTAGGTTATTGAGGAAACAGGATTTTTTGTTACACATTTTGAGTAGAACCACCCCCCACCCCATGACAGCTTTTTGAAGAAAAGGTGTGAAAGTGTTTCACTGAGCTCGAACTGACTCTCTGCTATCTTTTTCCCCAAAAGGAACCCAAGGTTTTTCGTTACATAGTTCAGTATTACGTGTGCCACCCTGCGTTATTCCTTGAGTGGGAACCTCTGTCCCCCTTGTCGCTTACGTGAGCGGAGCTGTTGGGCAGCTGTGTGTTAGGGAGATACTTGGGCAGAGGCAGTGCCTGGGATAAACTGACAGCAGCTGAAGCACAGCCAGTGCTGAAGTCACCCCAGAGAGGTTTTCACACAATTTTAGGTCAGATGCTTTAATTTCTCTGTGGAGAGAAGGATGGGTCTCCACCAGTCCTGCTGACTCTTGAGCGAGTTTGGAAGCAATATTGGAGACACTGTACTCTCCCCTTCCCCTACTTCTCCTGGCATTTTAATTTAGTTTTCTTCTCCTCACTTCAAGATTTTGAAAGGAATAGGAAAATTATTTTTGAGCAAGTCTTGTCATTTGCTCTTCTGCCTGTTTTTAGGGATGAGTTAAAATGGTCAGTTTGCACAGCCTGTGAGCCTGAAAGCTGGAAAGGTAGAACGTAATCTCTTAATTTCCTGGTCTGCCTCACTAGACAGTGATCAGCCCACTCATCTGTGAACACTGGTCTGTGTATTTTCAAATACCCCCCAGTCACGTCATCGTTTCTTTGGAACTTTCTGGCAGAACTTAGGAAATACAAAATCTTTGCGTTCTTAGGAAGAGATTGTAATTAAATAATACTCTCTAGTTGGGGGGAGGGGGGAGAATGTTCTTCTGACACTGTGCTCTGGAATTTTAGCAAGCCTGATGAGGATTTATTGGAAATAGTGTGAACCTTCTACCCTCCTCTTGCTGTAGGACGTTGTACCTCAAGCCTTGCTGGATCAGTATTTATCGATGACTGATCCGTCTCGCGCACAAACGGTTGACACCGAGATTGCCAAGCACTGCGCCTACAGCCTGCCAGGCGTGGCACTTACGTTAGGCAGGCAGAACTGGCACTGTCTGAAAGACACCTACGAGACGCTGGCATCTGACATGCAGGTAAGCTTGAGGAGCTCTGGCAGCGGTTGATCCGGACTTTCATGATGTGACAGTGGATAATCTGAACTTTTATGGTGGTTTCTCTTGTTCACTGGGTGTTGGGCTGCTCTGCTCTTTACACGGAGCTTTCCGTTGCTGATACTGGTTGTCTGTAGAATGAATGAAAGTGCAGCTGTTGTCTCAGAGGAAACTGTGTGTGGGAGGTCCTCAGGTAGTAAGGAATTGGGGCAGTTGGAGTGGATCTCCAGTGGGAACGGGAGAGGAGGTCTCAGATTTCCTCTGCTCACTTGGGATCTTAGAGCAGCGCTTGGGATTCTCATAGGTATGAGAACTGAGGGCTGAGCGTGAGCAGGCACGTGGCTCTGCACGCACGTCTGGAGCTCAGTGAGTCAGCCTCACGCCAGGCCTTCTGGTGGCCTTCTGCTGCTGCATCCGGATAGTCATAAGGGAATAACATCACCATCCCATGCAGCACTGCTGTTTTAAAAACAAATACTGGAAATAGCAGCATTTTCCTTGTTGTCAGGTGGCTTTGTGCATTTTACTGTTGGTTTCCAGTTGTTTGCCAGTCTTCCCTTGTTTCCTTTTTTGGAGACGCTCTTTTTATTTTTTTAATCATTCTCAGACTACTTCACCTCTCTTGAACTTGCTGCATGCTATGTCAGAGCAGCAGTTCTCGGTGGTATGTGGTGAGTAATTTTATACATGGCTATTGCTCATATTTTCCAAATTCCTTTGCAGCCATTAAAAACAACCAGCTAATAAATTTAAAACATAAGTAAAACCAAATTACCTGTATTCCAAACTGTATCACCAGTCTAATCTGAATTAAGATTGAATTACCAAGACAGAGCAAAAAAAACAGTACCCATGCTGGTTGGAAAGTGCTGGCTAAGGAATATATGCTCTTTCATTTTTAAAAAGACTTATTTGAAATAGTTACTCCATTAAAACAGAGCCCCCTGAATTTAGGGTGAGTAAAAGCTCTACTGGTCCTCAGACTGCTGGGCACTCGATGTGGGTGAAACTTCACCTGTTATGGAGAGTTAAAATATACCAGCTGAAATTTTGCAGTACATATATCTTTGTTTCCTTCACAGTGGAAGGTGCGTCGGACACTAGCGTTTTCTATACACGAACTTGCTGTCATCCTTGGAGACCAGCTTACGGCTGGAGATTTAGTTCCTGTCTTCAACGGCTTTCTAAAAGACCTAGATGAAGTCAGGATAGGTGTGCTGAAGCACTTGCATGACTTCCTGAAGGTATGTCTGTGTTCAACTCTGGTCAAGTGCAGGTGTGTATTTTGCTTCACTTCTGTGTATGCGCTTGCTTTTTAAGATAACACCGGTGTAACTCTGTGTGGGAATCTGTGCTGTTGAATACTACAGTCTATTTGAAGGACATCTGTGTTGCTGATGCACTTTTCTCTGAAGAGCCTGGTTTGTGCATGTTTACTCAGTATACAGGTGTTTTGATGGCTCTAACCTCTCCACACAGCTTAATTCTCAAATGTCTTTTAAGAGCTTTACTGTACCTGCCTCATTTTTGGAGCGGAAAGGTGTAAATCATAAAACCTTTAAAATCAATACTATATTCACTGCTCACCCCTTTTTTTTCCTAGAGTGAAAGTAGCGACTTGATCAGATTTTGCTTTCAGTAGTGCCCCATGTGATTTTACAGACTTAAGCATGATAGGGTCTAGCCCAGGAAAACAACACTATTACTAATTTTTTTTTTTAATAAAAGCAAGTGTTTTGTTAGTTGTATATCAAAGCTCTTGTTCTATCTGCTGATTGTAGCCCACGTTTCATTATCTAAGTTTATATTTACTGTTACAGCTGCTTCATCCTGACAAAAGACGAGAGTATCTTTATCAGCTTCAGGAATTCCTAGTGACTGATAACAGCAGGAACTGGCGTTTCCGTGCTGAGCTGGCCGAGTACGTAGTTTTCTAGATGCTTATTTTTATTGTTACGGGTATTTAAAAATGTTAAAATCATAGAATAGAGTGACATTCTTCATTTCATTTTTAATTAGGGGATAGTCCTTATCTTCTTCCACTTGTCCTTCTTGCTTAAAAATTCCCTGTAGTTGTATATCACCTGTAATGGTAGGATGTTGAATGTCTTCTTCTATCACCATACGTGGAAAACATTACCCTTCCGTAAAAAAGAGGCTGCCAGAAGATCCATCCCTGGAAGTGTTCAAGGCCAGGCTGGACGAGGCTTTGAGCAACCTGGTCTAGTGGAAGGTGTCCCTGCCCATGGCAGGGGGGTTGGAACTGGATGGTCTTTAAGGTCCCTTCCAACCCTAACCATTCAGTGATTCTATGAAGACCACATCTGGTTGCTGTTGAAGTCAATAGAAGGGTTCTAGCAGTTTGACTTCAAGTTGCTGTATTAAGGAGTAGGCTGAATTCATGACCATGAGACAGAGGAGATCAAGATCTTGAGGGAAGTAAAGAAAGCGAGTAGGAGTTAGTGACCTTGGACTTCACCTGAGCAGGCTTTGGCTTTGTCATGGGACTGGTAGGTGGGCTCCCATAGGAGGCAGCTCTGAACTGTCAAATTACTCAGGACAGAGGAAGGGGCTTATGAAGTTCAGGAAGGGATAGATGACGTCTTGTCTGTGGGAAGGAAAAGCCGCTGGCAGTGAGACAGACTTAGGACTGGCTGCCCTGGGAGCAGCTCTGCTGGAAGGGCCCAGAGTGTCGCGGAGAACAGTGAGCTGAACGTGAGCCAGGAGCGTGTCCTGGCAGCACAGTCCCGAGCTGTGTCAACAGGAGCACAGTCAGTATACGGAGGGAAGAGATCAGCACTCGTTAGGTCTCATCTGGAGTAATGCGTCTGTACGGGTGCAGGAAAGATGCTGATAAACTGGAACAAGTTTGGCAGAGGGCCAGCAAGGTGATGGGGGCTGCAGCGCTCACCCTGTGAGGAGACTACGGGACCAGGGTGTCTCTAGCAAGAATGATGAAATGAGCATACAGTAATGACTAGTTACACTGTATCTATTGAATTAAATTTTGAGAGACCTAGTGTAACATCTCATCGTGATGTCATGGTGATTTTGCTACATTTAAGTGTTGTTTTGATTTAGTAGCTACAGGTCTCTGTTACTGCTGGTACGGAGGCATTCAATCAGCTGCATGTAACATGTACATGCCGCTTCTTTTGATGTACCCTCTACCATTCATGACACATACTGGTGTCTGCAACCTGCTGAAATCTTAATCAACTCCTTCCAAATTGAAGGAGACTGATAATTTCTCTCGTTGTCCAGTCTACTTTGAAATAGAGGAAATGCATTGATTTGATAAATCAGTGTACTGAAGTGACTGAGTCAGAGTAGGTGCTTTGTCGCTGTACATGTGTTAGAGGTGCGAGAGGCCTTTACCAGGTATTAAATGTACGTGCACACTGGTGTCATTTGCTGCTGGATCGCTGCGCTGCATGCATGTCCGAGCCGTGACCAGGATCCCTGCCTTGTAAATGCAGCCTTGGTTCCCTTGCCCCTTCCTTAGTTTTTCATTCTTTGGTCTCACGCAGCATTTTGCCATTATTTTGAATAAGTGGCAATTTAATAATTGTAAGTGACCCGTAGTCAAACTGATGGCATTGAAAAACAGGGGATTTTACTTTTTAGTAACCTTATTATGGCCACACTGCGTAGTTGGCAAGTGTTGTCATATAGATGACTGCCTTCTCAGTTAAAGCTACCTCTCTTCTTACAGTAATGTACTCTGGTTCTTCTTCCATCTTGTAGGCAACTGATCTTGCTTCTAGATCTGTACAGCGCCAGGGACATTTATGACTACTTGCGACCTATCGCTTTCAGCCTCTGTGCAGACAAAGTGTCTTCAGTCCGTTGGATTTCTTACAAGCTGGTAAAGCAATTTAAGTAAATTCCGGATTTCAGACTTCTGAGGGTTAGTGGTCAGAAGTAACTTTTATACTCCCTTTTTTTTTTTTCTTTCTTATCTCTTCAAGGTTAGTGAAATGGTAAAAAAGCTGTACGTGGCTTCAACATCAACCTTCGTTGTAGACCTCATGAATGAACTTGTTGAAAAGTTCTGTAGATGCCGCAAATGGTCCGGTCGGCAAACTTTTGTCTTCATTTGCCAGGTGAGGTGTCTTTTTTTTCATCCTATGGGGTTTTGGTGGGATGGTGGTATTAAGGGGAGAGAACAACTGGAACTCCTCAGCCGTCTATCGACACTATTCTCCTGAACATTTGAGAACTTTGTTTCTGAGGAGATAGGTTTCATGGCTTCTTTCTTCAGTGTTGCTCCAACACCAGCTCGCGTGCGCCTTTAGCTGAGCATATTAACTTCAGGCTGTCAGATCTGATGTTGAGTATAAAAGACAAGCGTAGCAAAATAATCCCCGAGTTGGGAAGCTGCTATGTTCCTCAGCATGAAGTGAGGTTTTTGGAATATGCTGTTGCAGTCTGCCACTCTTTTGGGTTACCCTTTAGAAATCAAGTGCTAGGAGTTGTCTGTACCTCCTTAGTCAGCTGGTGCAGCTTGGTCAAAAACGGTATTCTCAGCAAGAAGAGTTGAAACTAGCATTGTGCTGTATTTTTAAAACTTTGCGGGTGCTACCTACTGTATTCATGCTATGAAGGCAGTCAGGTCTGCCAGCTCCGATTATGTGTTGGGATTTTACCTTCACTGTGCTAACATCTAAATGAAATTGTTACTGTCTTCCTGCCAGACTATCAGTGAAGATGACTGCCTGCCCATGGACCAGTTTGCTGTGCATCTGTTGCCACACTTACTACACTTGGCATCGGACAGGGTTCCAAATGTTCGTGTCCTGCTTGCGAAAACGTTGAAGCAAACCCTTCTAGAGAAAGGTTAGTGGTGAGAAAGAGTTGTAGTGGTCTGCCTTGCCTACCTTTTGGTCCTTCCACTTTCCTTCAGTCAGCTGGGAAAGAAGGAACAACATCAGATGTGGGTTCTTTCTTTTATAGTGTCCTTGCTGTGGAATGTTACCTTGGCTGACATAAACCGTAAACCTCACTGTGGTATCAGAGCTGCTGTTGTGTAACGCTGGGGAAATTGAGGTCTTGCTCATATGCCAGCATCTTCTTTTGGTACCATTTTCCCTGAATGAGCCAGTTCGGAGAGCTGTCATCAGGGCACAGAAAGCACAGATTAACAACTAAGCTACTGTGAAGTTGTTGAGAAGTGCTTTTTTTTTTAAAAAAAAAAAAAAAGTCTGATGTTCTGTGTAATAAGGATAAAGAGAAGTCCTGCCATACAAATCCACCATCTCTTTTCTCACTGGAGGAGAATAGACGGCTGCTCTTCGGTTTTTATATTTTATGGTAGCAGTGGGAAGGAAGTTTCTCTGGAGTCTCTTCAGGGAAATTAGACATGTAACTTCCAAACTGGAGACTGCTTAGGAGAGCATTCCCAGTGCATAACAGATGCCAGAAGAGTCAGCAGTGCTCGGATTCCAAAGCACTGTAAAGGAATAAATAGCATTAGAAATAGTATGCTGTTTTTTGTAAACCAGCAGTGTACGTACTTGGAATACCTCATCCAGTTCTGGTGGCTTTTTTCCTCAAAACCATACACTGGCTTGGGGACTGCTGTTTGTAGCACGGAAAGGGTGAAGCAAAATGCAAAGTGTTCAAAACACCAGGCAGCACAAAGGATGGCAACACTGAGGATGCCAACGCAGCGAGAACCAGGCTGTTGCTGGCTGCCTTGTGCCTGCTGGAGCCTCTCAGCAAGCATATGTAGACAGTTCAGATGGATCAGCTGACATGCTGTAATTTGTCCTCTGATAACTGTGCCAAGGCTGTCACTGTCCTTCCTGTGATTATGTCGTATTGGTGGTTTTGTTCTTGTGATTTTCACGTTGAGGGTCCCAGAGCTGGATGCTGTACTCCATTTGGGGTCTCACAAGAGCAGAGTAGAGGGAAAGAATCGCCTGCCTTGGGCTTTACTGGTCACGCTTCTTTTTATGCAGCCCAGGGTCCATGGCTTTCTGGGCTGCAAGTGCACATTGTTGGCTCATGCTGAGCTTCTTATCAGTCAGTACCCCCAAGTCCTTCTCCTCAGGGCTGCTATCAGTCCACTCATCACCCAGCCTGTATCCATGTTTGGGATTTCCCTGACCCAGGTGCAGGACCTTGCACTTGACCTTGTTGAACTCCATGAGGTTGGCAGTGGCCCACCTCTCCAGGCTGTCCAGGTCCCTCTGGATGGCATCCCTTCCCTCCAGCGTGTCGACTGTGTCCAACAGCTTGGTGCTGTCAGCAAACTGGCTGAGGGTGCACTCGATGCCATCATCCATGTCACGGACAAAGGTGTGAAACAGCACAGGCCCCAACACCGATCCCACCTTTATTCCCCACCTGGATGGCATGTCCCCATTCTGCATTGCCACTGAGTCAGCTTATAACGCGGGTAGGCCCTGCCTCAGAGGTGTGTTTGATGAGGGATGGTGGGTAGATTGTGAAAGGCAGATTTAAAAAGTAAGTTCGGAAGTTTTTAAACCTCAGATCTAAATTGCCCTTCCCATGAGCCGTTTGTAGTGATGCTGCTTTTATGCACTTTGCGCCGCGTAGTTCACGAGAGCTGCCAGAGGTTGGAGCTTCTTCCACTCTTCTTTCACATTATCTTGGTTTTATTGTTTGATGATTATGCAGCAGGCTTGCCAGTGAAACAGTGGCACGGCCGTAGGTTTGCGATGCCTTCCCTCCACCACAAATATAAGCGCACTCCTCCCGAGTCTCTTGCAGGTTTTTTATTCCTCTTTGGTCATGCAGTCTGTCACGCTTACTTTTGTACTGAAGTGCCATAGAAATCCTGTTAGAACAGCTGTGCTGTGAAACGTGGGGGTTAAGTGAATCCATAGGTACACGCAGGAGTTACCGTGTGCCCGCCCAGCTATTCCAGCTTGTCTGTACGTGGGCGCCGTCTCCTGAGGTGTTGAGCCTCCTGCCGCGTTCTGCGTTGAAGCATCTTCCGTCTTTCCCTCCTGTGACTCCTGTGCATTTTCTCTCTTACAGAGTACTTCCTGAATTCCGCCAACTCCCATCAGGAAGCTGTGGAACAAACGATCATGGCGCTTCAAATGGATGATGACAGCGATGTCAAATATTTTGCAAGCATCCACCCTGCCAGTACCAAAATTGCCGATGATGCCATGAGCACGGCTTCGTCAACTTATTAACAAGTTCTGAATGTTGCTATAATTAAAACAAACAAACAAACTGTCCTCAGTTGCTTCTGAAATGGTTGATCTAGGACAACCTCTTTGGAAGGAGGGAGCTCTTGCCAGACCTAACAGGTGGATGTTACCTAGGCCTGATACCAGGGATTTTATTTAAGTCAAGAAAAAGTAAACATACCTGTGTCAGCTTGACTTTAGAAAAACACTGCTCAGAGGATTATTCATGCCACCGAAGCCTTAAATCTTCTGTCTTCCTGAACAAATGAAACTTGAATTGGCAGACCATTTTCATTGTAGAAAGGATGTGATTTCCAGAGACCTGCATTGTTTCTCCTGAGGAGTTAACTTAGCAAGTGTTTTCTGTAGCAACCGATAGACGAAATGGCCAGAAAGGCAAATTTACACCAGGATGCGTGAGACCTCCAGTATTAGCGCTAAAATTTTACATCGTTCAAGGACTTGATTTGTGTGCAGCTGGGCACACCCGTACGCGGGCATAGCTTTCGTGTTTGTAAATGGGGGAAAGTAGAAATTGGGATTTCTCCTAAGGGCTCAGTGCTAACACTAAACTAGAATTTGATTTTAATCCTTAAATGCAGCATATTGCTGTACCCATTAGCAGAAAACTTTGCTGAGTACCTGTGTCCTAATTATTTTCATGCTGGTCATGACCTAAAGGAAATTTATTAGCACATGTACTTTACGTCAGGTATTTTTAACTTGATCATGATCAGCTCTGAGGTGCAACTTTTTTCTTCATATACTGTACATATCTGTGAGCCTCCTTGGAGTGCTGCGGTCTTTAATCATGTTGTTTAAAGCTGTTGTGATACAAGTTGTTCTCTACTTGTCCAAATAAAATTTATTAATAAGATTGAAAGCAATCTTGTGACCTTTTTAAGACATTAAAAAGAATAAGTTTGAAATTCAAGTGGCCTTTTCTTAGTACTTTACACCTTGACAGCTGTTGCAGGGGGAAGAGGTTTGCGTAACGATGTCAGGTGAAGGACTTTGCATTTTGAGATGGAATATACTACAGCACAGATGTGCAAACACTGTGTTTGAGGTCGATAGGTTTCTCTTTCGGGCATCTCGGTTGTGCTTGGGAACCTCTCGCTGCAGCGTGACATGGCATCTCTTCTGAATTGAGTCTGAATATCCACCTCAGTCCGGTCTTGCAGAAAACCGTGAGCTCCAACTGCCCTTAATCCACCTTCGGTCCGTGAAAGGCTTTCATTTCCTCTCACTGGAAACGACTGACGCAGGATCTCCCTCTGTGTCTTCCAGGGGCAGCTTGCTCACATCACCTTTCCTCCAGCCTGCCGAACCCGAGGCGCGCGAAGCCTGGTTTCCTGCGGAGGTAGAAGTGGCTGTGGCAGCTTATCTCCGGTGTGTTTTGGCAGAACGTTTCCAGCCGCAAGTCCGGTGCCTGGTAGCCTGGCAGTTCAGCCTCAGGCAGGTGGCTCTTTTTACCTGTTTTCTTGAGAAAATAGGAATATTTCTTGGGAAATAGGAAGTAGTTTTCTTAAAAACTTGTGCAGTTTCTTCTCTAGAAAGTTGCTATTTGCTCCCCAAAGGCCTGCTTTTCTACTTCTGAGCATGCCCGTGGAGGTGGCCAAGATAGAGACTCATCTCTGTCTGCCTCGAAGCTTGGTAGGTTTGCGGGTTTTGGGGTTGGTTTGATTTTTTTTTTTAATTATGCTTTTTTAGGGTTGGAGTTCGGGTTTTTGGTTTCCTTTGGGGTTTTAATTTAGTGTTTTCTTTTCCTAGTCCCTTTTTCTTTTCAAAATCAGCTTAAAATTTGAAAAGGCAACTGTATGCCCAGGTCAGAAGTTCCTGTAGTATAGGTGATGTTCTCATCAGGTTTCCTGTTCTCCTGTAGATCCTCAGAAACCTGTCCCTAGGGACCTAGGCAGTGGGACAGCAGATTGTCAGCAGGGAGCTCTTCAGGCAGGACGATTGCTGAGCTCTCCCCGCTGCCATGCGGAGAACAAGTAGATGTAACTAGTCCTCTCCCAGGCCACGTGATTCCCGATTTGGAAAGAGGCATGGAAGTTCAGTTGACTTCTGCATTTTGTTCAGGGTACGTAAATCCCTTCGTCTCTTTGTTGCCATAAAGGTGTAGTAATGACGGTTGAATTGTAGCTGAGTCAAGTGTGCAGTTCCTGAGGTGACGGGATCAGCTCTTCGGTCAGGCCAGAGGATGCTTCTGGTCGTCTCCTAACTGTGAAAGGAGTGTGGTGTTTGCTGGGGGGGTATTGGGACCTAAAAGAAATCCTAGTGTTTGGAGTCCAGAATCACAGAATGGTTAGGGTTGGAAGGGACCTTAAAGACCATCTAGTTCCAACCCCCCTGCCATGGGCAGGGACACCTTCCACTAGACCAGGAATGAACGTGTCCCAGCCTCATTCCATTGCTGTACTAATGTACTGTTCCACTAGTCCAGAAAATGCAGCAGCCTGTCTGATCCCTTTCGGTATTTTCTGGTTATTTAAGGGTAAGACACCTTGGAGTTGAAAAATGAGACGGATCTTCCAGATGCTTTACTTCTCTCTGGTCTGTATTTCATCAGTACTGGTGCAGGACTGTGCATCAGGGAGAGTTGGAGGCTTTTCCTAAGGAAGACGCTGTGTTTTCAGTTGCAGAGTGCTTGAATTCCCTGACAGGTAACAAAGGTCACCTTTGGGGAAGATGAGAAATTACCAGTCTTTCTCCTTTTTCCTTCACCCAACACGTCATGGATCTGCCCTCCACTTTTCTGCTTCGTTTGGGGATTCCCAAGAAGTGAAAGGGAAGGAAAGACTGACTTCGCTCAGCGTTGCCCAAGAGCATTTGATTTACAGCCTGAGGGATGCGGTCCCCGTTGCTTAACTCCAGTAGGGAGTTTCCTCGTGCTGGCAGTGGTAGCGGCGTCAGTAATTCCAGCTTCACCCTATCCCGAAGGGCATGGGGCTTGTGGACATGTGCGTCTCCATTCCCAGGGGTGAAAAAAGGAGCTGTTTTTCCTGAAAGGGGGGTAGTGTCTGGGAAGGCTGGCCGAAGATCCCAGTGAATTTCCTCGCGTGTCTCCCCTGGAGAAAGATTCGAGGTTTGTGTCTCAATTCCTCTCCCTTTTGGTCAGGATTTCTTGAGCAGGAAGTGAGGTGGCTCCCGAATGGTCTGCGGTTTCCAAAAGCTGTATCGCAGCTCTGCCCCCGCCACCTTGGTAGAACACCAAAGTTTCCACTGTTCTCCATGGAATCTCTTGGGTCGCTCATCTTGGAGCTTCTCCATGGGAGATCCCTTTCTTCCCGAGTCCTGGTTACAGCACTGTCTGCTGTTCACCACGGGTTCCCGGTCTTGGGCTGTTGACCCATCAGGATCTGGAGGGGCCGTTTCCTCGCCACGCTTTCCTGCAGATTTCCTGCCAGTAGAACTGGGAAATGTCTGGATCCCTCTAGAGGGCGGTTTGTTTTTAACCAAGACGTGACCGACGCTTGCTGGTTTGAATGTCCCGGCTGGCTGCCGTCTGAGTTCCTGGCCCCGTGGCGGAGATGCTGAGTTGTCAGGACGGCAGAAGAGCGGGCGGGTTTCAGCCCAGCTGAAATCGGCGTTTGCGTGGCCTCGGCGACCCTCCTGAGCGGGAGGGGGTCTGGCAGGGATGGTTTTCGTCTTCAGTCGATGACTCTCGCCCCTTTTCCTCTGCAGTTGGGGTTCAGAGGTGGCTGGTTGGAACTGGAAGCGGAAGGGGAGAACAGTGAAGCCTGTCCTGTGGCTCAGGCACACACACCTTGAACTCCTTCCCCTTGGCAGGGTCTCCTCTTGCTCCCTTTGGTGTGGAAACTTGGGTGCAGCACACGTGTCCCCTCACCCCATTTCAGCTGGGGCCTCTTTCTCCTTCAGGGTGGGAAGAGGAGTCTGGGAGAGGTGGGGGGGCAAAAGCTGGTTCTGTACCCCGCTCCTCCTCTCCTGTCGGCTCTCCCCTCTCCGACACTGATGGGGAAAGGCTCCACTTCCCACCTGTGCTGCTGTTCAGACAGCATGGAAAGTAGGTTTAAAGGGATTCATTCCCCCAGCAGGGAAGAGGGATTTGGGAAGGGCCAAGCTGCTGAGCCCTGCCTGGTGGAGGGTTGGTCTCTCCGTGTGTTCCTGCTTTGGAGGAGGAAGCAGCCCTGACCGGAAGCTGGGGAGCAGCGCCCAGGCGTCAGCTGACAAGTCCAAAGGACTTCTGAGGATCAGCATTGGATGTTTTGGGATGCAGCGACCTTTGGTCTTGGCCTTTTTCGTGCTGTCTGCCCCCCTCTGTTCCCGGTAGGCTCCCCTTTTGGATACAGCTAGGAGTTGGAGGAGGGCTGGTGGCTACTGTTACGGCTCTGGTGTAGCCAGAGGGTGCGGCCAGGGCAGCCGGCAGCGCGGGAGCCCTAGCATCCCTCTGCTGACAACTCCGGTGTTTCCCAGCGCAGGTGGGAATCCTTCCAGTGCGTGGGAGTGGGGTTGGCTGGTTAAAACCCTCTTTTGCAGCGTGACCCCTGGCCGGTGGCAGGGCTCTTTTCCCAGGGCGCCGAGGTGGTCGGCAGAACAAGAACCGAGCCAGCAGCAGCCCGTTGTGTCCGAGTGGGTGGGCAGCGGAAACACTGGCGCTGAGCCGGAGGCACGGAGTGACCCAGGGGTTGCTTCTGACAGGGCATCCACCTGGGCAGCAGGATGGAGGAGCAGCTGGGGCTCGGCCCTGGGACAGGAGTGGGGAGGGACAGCCGCTTTCTGGTACGGAGCACAGTGCCGCTGTCGGAGCGTGCCTTGAAGAACACTGCCGAGATCTCGTGCTGTCGGATACGTGCCGTGTTTGGCGCGGGGGAGGCGTTCTGCCCTCTGCAGACGGAGCCCCGAGGCAGAGGCGCGTGCTGAGGAAAGAAAACCTTGACGGACGAAGCGCGGTCCGACCCGTCGGTGGCAGAGATTCGGGCTGGTGCTCCCAGTTACAGTTCTTGTGGATGTGACTGAAGGAGCACGGTCTGACGTGGTTGGGTGTGAAGTTCTTGGCTTCCGGAAAGAGCCTTTGGAAATCAGACTTGGCTCGTTGATGCTGATGGGACGCAGAGGTGTAAAGGAATCCTCTGGGTGCTGGTACCAGGATGCCTGGATGGAGGAAGAAGCGTGCTGTGCGGTGGTCCTTCTGTCACCGTAAAGGAGTTTCTGGAAGCCCGTGCGGTTCCCTGTAGGATGATACCTGCACCCTGGAGGAAACCTTTCAGGACCACACCGGCACTGTCAGCTTCCGTGAGAAGGGAGCTGAGCCAGCCTTGGAAATGTGGCGCAGACAGCGCAGAGCCCGTGAGAGCTGGAAGGCTGGCTGGAATCCTGCAAGGTGTTTTCAGCAGGTTAGGGTGTGATCCGGGAGGACTACTGCTCAGTCTTTAGGTTTTAGCTACCTTTCCCTAAATAAAAGAACCCCCCCGACCCCGTTCACCCGTGGGTGCAGCAGTGGCCTTGAGGCGGCTGCATTTCACAGATTTTTTTCTTCCCCGGGAGGAGGAAGCCCACCTGGCGTGTGGGACGCCGGGAGCCGTAGGGTTGCAGCACCTCAGCAAGTTGGGGGTGCAAAAGCCGTCACCTCTCCAGGCGGATGCGAGCGACCTGCTGCCGGCAAACCCCAGGTTGGTGTCCTGATCAGTGTTGCAGTCCCTGTGATGCCTTCGTACGGTGCTACTTGACGCGATCCTGTCCCGGCCTTGGGGGGGCAAGGACAGTAAAAACGGGGCACGTGGTCGTCCCCTGCCCCTTCTCCGAGTAACGGGCTGCGGGGGGAGCACCCAGATGTTCACAGGGGAGGTTGGTGCTGTGATGGCCCGAGTGCGGCAGCGCGCGGGTTTCCTGGGAAGGCGCTTGGGATCGATAAGGCAGCTTATAAAGCGACCTGAAGGACAGGCTGAGACTGGGGGGGTCGCTCACCGCTTCGTTTGAGACGAGCTTTCGCTTTCTCGGCTGTTGGCAGCCACCGCAGGCGGCCTTTGACGTCACTGCTGCTGGCCTGGCTTCCGCACCACGGGCACTGGGGTGATGCTCCTGACCCCTCTGGGGGAGGCACCGACCCCGGCTCTAGCCAGGGGGTGCCTCTTCCCCCGGCTCGGAGGCTGTCGCTGCCTGAGCCACTTGCCCCGGGGCTTGCCTGGGGGCTGCTACGGCTCACTCTGAGGGTTCTAACTCCGGGACGGTCCTCGATAGCTCTGTGATCACCGTCTGATGAGAGACTGAATAAAGGGGATGGTCTGTACCTCCGTGGCCGAAATCTCTGGTAGTGATAGGGAAGGAAAGTCTTAAAAACCCTTAATTTGATCAAAGGGAACTCCATCTCCAGCTGCACGGGGGAAGCTTGGCGTGACGTTCAGCTGCAGACTGTGCGCTTCCCGAGGAGAGCGATTTTGGGAAGCCCAAATGAATTTTTCAGGGGAATGTTCTCAGCTACCCAAGAGGAGCAAAAACCCTTGGCATCAGAAAACAGTACCTTAGGAAGCAGATAACTTGGAAACCACTTTCAAATGGCTGTTGAATTTATTTGCTTGATAAATACAATCCCAACAAAATTAGAAGTTAACCAATATTAAGAGATTCGTCTGAAGAACATTAGAAAAACCCACGACAATCCGAGAGGAATCAGTGTGAATCGAACGAACAGAAGGCTTAAGTATTGCCAGCGGGTAGAAAATGTGCGTCAGGAGGGCGAGGGAGAACGCTGCAGTTCACGTTTGTCATCTGACTGTGTTTTCTGTGTCTATAAACTACTTCTTTTCCTCAAATTTTAAAAAAATAGCGTGCTGTTTTCTCTAACATATCAAAGCGCTGTATTTGTACAAAACCAAATCATGGCCAAGGATTCACAACAGTGCAATGGGTACAGGATCCAACCCCATCCAGCAGGCGCCGAGCGCAGACACCCGGGTCGGAGAGGAGCCCCTCCGTGCCCTTCGCCGTCCCCGCGCCGAGGGACGGAAGCAGTAAAACAGCCAAGCCAAAAGCAGCTCCCGGAGGTGGGTGGATTTTTGATCAGCAAGGAAGAG